CGGCACATGCAACCCGCCTACTTTTACAAGAAAGAAAAAAATAACATCCTCTACCTAAAATAAAAGCGCCTCAAAAGGCAGGAGCGTTGCCGCAGGTGTAGTGTTGCCTGGTCATTAATTGTGCAGGTGATGAAGAAGATGCCCCTGACACGTGGCGCGGTAGCGATCGTGATGGGAAACAGCTGATCTTGTCCATGAACGGCCACCGAATGGCCAGCGCTGGCCATGGGGACAATTTTTTAGGTTACTCTTCCTGCTAGGACTTGGATCCAGTGGAAAACATCACCACAGGTTTTTTACAGAAAGATAAATGTGCGGCAATAAATGCATTAAGGTCCTGAATCTGAAGTTCCAGTCTCAGAAAAACGGAAGGATTTCATGAACTCTTTCAACAGGATGGGGAGCCCTTGTTGGCACCACTTACCAAAGCCATGTCGGAATCTCCCTCCCTCTTTTCACTCTTCCATGTCTTTTAAATTCAAGCACTCAGATTCAAGCATTTTTCACTCATCGCTTTCGCATTATTATGCTATGACTTCAGTATTTTAAAGAAAAGTAGCCATTCAGCTTAAGTGTTCAGCTTCCCCTTTGCTAGGGAACCTGCTTTGTGCTGCCCAGACATTCTCCATTTTTAAAAAAACAATAAGGGAAAGCAGAGGCGAGAGGTCAAACAATCCAAACCTGAATAACCAGAGAAAAACAGTGTGTGGCCATCAGTCTTATTTTGCTGTTGGGGACAATGTGCTACTTTTTCTGTAACAGAAGATGATCTTTGCCTGCAGCCAGCCAGAGAGGACACTCCATTAGGTAGCTGCATGCGGAATCTCAGGAAGCTGAAATCTCGATTTTCTGGCCTGGAGGCTGCTTCAAAGGTGCTGCCAGCACAACTGATCCTCGGCTGAGCTGGTTTGATAGCCTCTATCCTGGAGGAGGTGTCGGATCACCCAAGTGCTTCCTGCCTAATGAACCAAGTGACGGTGGTCATTAAAAAACCTGTACTCCCACAAAAATAGGGGCACGGTTCCAATTACAGCTCTTTTTACTCACAAAAGGGCCATCCCCGCTGCATTGAGTAGGATGGTGCCCCAACCAAGCACATCCAAAGTCACGCAGCGCGTGGGAGAGCTAGCAAAGGCCTGGCCGTGGACGGCTGGGCCCAGCACAAAAACATTTCAGGGTTCGGCCATTTCTTCTCAGTGCTGCAGAATAAAACACAAAATTGCTCCAAATGCAATCAGACAGAAAGCAGAGCACAGCTCCTCAATTGCAGGATTTGGGATTTAGCTGGGATATGCACTAACGCAAAGGTAGGTAGTGTGGAAATTGTGCAATTTGAATGGGACAGATTAAAGCATTAAAAATAAGCTCTTTAGTAGTGTTACTAGCTCAATCCTGGCTTATTAAAAGAAACTAAGCTTCTTAAAAGTGAAATTGCCCTTAAATGAATAATACTGTTTCAGTTCCAGTTCTGACAGAACTGGCTTTGTTAATTTATTTTCCCGTTCAAGTTGCTCCTGATTCTTGGGTCTTGTGTAGGAATTGCCATTATAGTTTGATTTATTTTGGAAGCTATACCTTTGCTGTCCAAATGTGTTATTTAAGTCTGAGACATCAGGAATATTCTTCTCTCTGTATTACATCAAAAAACCACCCCACAACCTAAAACCCCAGAAAAATGCTTGCCAAATCTGACCCTGGCCCCAAAATACCCATGGTCAGAGTGAGGAGGCAGCCAGTAGTGCAATCCCCTGACGCTGCTGCCCTGGCATGGGGAAGGGAACAGGTTCCTGGCCAGGAATGTTGCAGCACTGAACTTTTAAAGCAGCAGGCAGGGAGGGAGAGCTGTCCCGTGGCCACCTGCTCCTAACTGTTTTCGCTTTAAAGGCAGAACAAAAATAATCCTCCCAAACTCAAAGATCCTTACTGTGAAGAAATACAGGCACGATCTGGAGAAGACTGGATTGTATCACTTGTGTGTGAAGGTGACGCTCCCACTGCCCAAAGTCATATTTGTAAGATGTGATTTAGGATCCGATTTCCTCTAATGCACCATCGAGCCATAATTAGGCAGGAGGCTGGAAGATCGTCATCCAAAACTACCAGAGATACATTTTCAAAGGCACCAAGAGTTAATGGAAGTCATTTGATTTCTGCGTCGGCAATCTCTACCGGCTATTGCAAAGTATTAAGCTGAGTGCATTTAACTCCAGAAAGGCAAACAGGTTCCTACCAGTCATGACCTGGAATGGCCTTTTGCTTTCCTAGCAAGACTCCTTAATAAAATGGGGCAATAAAAACAGGCTTAACACTGTTACATAGGAAGTACAATGCTTCAAGTAATTTTTTTGCTCTGAAAAAACAGCCTTTGCCAAGAGGATAAGGGAGATTTATAAACCTCACCTCCAGGGTGTTTCAGTCCTTGGACTCGGCACCCACCTACTTGTACCGTCTGCCTCGTGGCCGAGGCTTCTGACCTACTGAAGGACAAGCCCATTTCTGTAGCGAGGTGACAGGCGTGACTCCTCGCAGCCCTCCTCGCCTGCTGGGAGGATGGGACATGCTGCGGAGATCAGCCAAGCGATGCTGACATGAAATTGGAGAGAAGTGGTAGAAGGCAGTGATAGGGATTTGACACTAGAGACGCAGTCAGTCGTACCTCTAACTCCCTCCCACACCTTCACTTCTCCTCCTGGCGCCAGCACTCTCTTCCTCCCTGCTCCTCCACAGCCTCTCGTCTGACTCTATGGCAGCAAAAGAGGCTGTGCAAGACTGTGGACACTATCTCGGGCAATATGCCCGACGACCTGGCTGAGCCCTACATGGCACTTTGGAAGAGGCTGAGAAATTCACCCCAGCCAGGCAAAGAGGCGTTAGTGTCCTTGTTTTGGAACAGAGAAGGCTTGAGCTAGAGATATTAACACACTTGACTACTGCTCGACAGAGTCCAGAGCAGACCTGGGGAGCTCTTGGTTCTCGCTGTTGCTTCAGACAAGGCTCAGGGTCTCCATTTCAGCCTCACTGCTGAGCTCAGGCACCCAAAGAGGTGGATGCAAGCCCATGAAATCCACGTCCTGAGGGATTTAACAGGGAGGAAGATTAGTGCAGAGAAAAGTAAAAAAAAACCCTCGATGATGCGAGAGCCTGGTTGTCGTTGCCCTGGCTGCTGGGCCAGCCGCAGCCATGGTGGCTCACACGTGTCCTGTGGCGAGAGAGGCACAAGGCCAGTGGCCCATGGAAGGCATTTTCTAAGAGCCCAGCCTTATCTGCAGCAACAGAGCAAAGGCAGAAGGACTTCAGCGCAAGACCATAGACAATAAAAAATGCTGACCTGTGCAAACTTCCACACTGTGAAACAAAACAAAACAAAAAAAAGTGGTGAAGGAGAGGTGGGCAACAAAGCACCCAGAGCATCCACCATGCCAGGACGGCAAGAGGCCAAGCCGTTTGGGTGAGCTTTGTCGCATTCGTGCCGATTTGGGCCTCCTCCACACCTGGTATCACCAGCAGAAGAGGGTTCAAAGGCAGCTTCCCTGGTATTAACATTCTCCAGCTGTATAAAGCCTCATGGAAATCAAACCTGAGGTTTGGGGAAGAGCCAGGTCCCTCCCACATGCCCGGTGAAGCACACACGCACCGCACACTCAGCCGACCAGGGCAGGGGGCAAGCAGCGTCCCTCACTTCTCTCTTCCTGCACGGGAGACAAGCTGCCGGCCATCCGCTGGCTGGGGGCTT